GCCTCCAGGGGATAAAATCAGCAATTTATGCAACACTTCCATCTGTGCCCTGTGAAGGGGAAGACTGTGCTCAGGGATGTACTGGAGATTCCCCCCAGTGCTACAGAGGCATGGTGCTGTGTGGCGCAGAAAGGATTTAGAGATGTAATGCCAACCAAATAGCCAGCTCCTTATTTGAGTCATTATACACAGCACATCTGTATTATACAGAGTACAATGCCCTTTATTTGCTCGCTGTTTTTACATAAAACAAGCAGTTTTCTGTGAGCCCACTTGAGTATTAAGCTGGCCTGCTTTACGAATTGCAGGTCATTTCTGTCAGCGCTCATTCATTCCCTCACCAGCTATATAAGAAACTGTGAGCAGGGACCAGTGTCTTGACACACGGGTGACTGGTGGGTAGCCCCCTGTTGTAGCATGGGCCAAAAGGGACCCTGTGGGCGACCCTCATTGGCCTACCAGTCAGTACATAGCTCACTGATTAGTTACACCTTCCAGATATTTTGGGCACCAAAAATTGCAACAAGTATGCCCATAAGAAACAAAGTTTCTGGGTCTGTTGTCCAAACATTGTGCACCAAAAAGAGGGTTGGAGCAGGGTGAACTTTACTTGACCAGGTCACCTGAAGACCTAGACTTTGAGAGTACAACTACCCAGATATGGGTACTCCTTATTGATCTGAGATGTCTGACGCTGAGGAGATAAGAGAGCAGATCCGGGAGAGAAGAGATCAAACCAGGGAGAGAAGATAGCAAACCATAGCACGTAGGGCATGTAGGACTAAGACCACTTGGTTCTATGAAGAAACTAACAGCCTTGTGTGGGTGCTGTGGGACCCTAAGGTGTTAATCCAGTTCGCAACAGCCCACATGCAAACTTGCAAATATACCTCCATGTGTCCAGGAGACTTGCTGAGCGTGGGCACAACTAGACAGCGGCCCAGTGCAGGGTGAAGGCCAAGATTCAGAATGTTGCTTTCTGATGTGAAGTTGCAAGAGCTCAGCAGCAGGGCACCCCCGTGCATAACATGTTGTACTATCGACACCTCCACCCACTAATGGAGATTCTTGAACGCCATGAAATGAGACGATCGGCATATCCAGGCCATCCTCCACTCCTAAGACCTTGACAACCATGGGTCCAACTTGTGCTGCCTCACGTGAGGAGGACAGCAGCAGGGTACTAGTACTGGCCCGTGAAGATTCCTTTGAAGAGGAGAGACTGGGGACACTGACTTGCACACCTGGTATGTGAAGCCCTGGGGAAATCTTTAAGTCAACTGTCAACTGAACTGACAATTGTGATTAGGCTAGACTGTGAGGTGAAGGGGAGGTGGCATCTGACACTGCTTTAAAGACGCGGCAAGTTAGTAGGCAATGCAGGGAGGTACAGGGTAACATAAGGCAGGGAGGCTCTGCTGGGCAATTGTTTGCAGCTGCTCAGGGCCTGCAACCCACCACTTGGCTATGCAAGCCCTTCTTGGTGATTTTTTGCCTGATTGCTTCTTATCTGCTCACAAGATTTGCTGAGCACAGAGCTCTCAAAAAGGCTCATTTCCCTGCATTCCTTGATTTTCCACTCCATTTGTTATGCTGCCACTGAAAAAATGCAGACCAGATAGGAACTCTGTTAATGATGCCTGGATAGATAGGGTTGTCATCATCATCAGTACCTGCGTGGTGTGGTGGCATGAGATTGCAAGACTGGTAAGTCATGTCTGTGGCCACATATTGACCGGACAACGTGGCAGGAGGCATTCATGAGAACAGGAGAGAGAATGGCAGTCCAGCTCAGGAATGCAGAAAATAGCATCGCTTATCTATAGTGAAAGTTGTTGATTATTGATTATCATTTGTTTGTCTTTTTAAGCAGTCAAGGCTTATTGTTATTGCTTGTTGCTATAAAAGTTGTTGTAATAACTGTTGTTATAAAAGTTGTTGATTATTGCTTGTGGTTTTAAAAGTTGAAGAATATTGCTTGTTGATTACTGTTACCTTGTAAATGCTGAGTGGTTTGGTAATTTATGTAAATTATGCTTAATATACCAGTTACAGTTAATGATGATAAACTATTTTATTTTCTTTCAATGTGGGCCATTAGCAGGTAATCAAACCAGGCTCCCCGGCTTTGTTCTCATCACTGCCAAATCAACAGCTGTTGACAGAGGCACCAGTAGAGAGGGTAGTAAAACTTGTAAAACTGGAAAACCTGGTAAATCCCCATCCAGAACCCATGGTGTGGCAGGTCACCAGTGTGGGGCACTGTCAGGGCTGTGAGTGGGGTTGTGACAGAGATACTATTAGTGACAGGTGGGGGGGGCGGGATGTCTCACTTTGGACCTGGAGAGTCTTTTGGACCAAACCTGTTTAGATATGGGGAGTCCTGTGAGAGGGCAGGTGCCGTTTGCTCTGAAGGGCAAATGAAAGTGTGCCAGGGCACCCTCTTCAGGCAGCCAAGCAGTTCTTCATTCCTGGATGGAACCAGGAGCAGATTATGGGGTGACAGTGCCGTTGTCAGTAAGGGCTGCCTGCTGCTGTTGCAAGAACGTCCATGGGCCTGATTGTGGGGTGAGCATCATGCAACTGTGACCGACATGGCAGCACAAGGAAAAATAAATCAATTATGAAGCATGGAGGCTATGAGCTGCAGTCCTGTGAGCAGGAGGGCACCATTTGCTCTGATAGCAAATGAAAGCACTCTTCACTTTAGGCAGCCAAGGGCTTCTTCATTCCTGGGTGAAACCAGGGGCAGGTGATGGTGCCGTTGTCACCCTGGCCAGAGCGTTGCAGGGGCGGGGGGATGGGGGTGCAGTTTTCTGTGCTGGTGAGCAGAAGATTGATTCATGTGGAGCTGGATGCACTGCTACATATGGTGTTCAAATATGCACATTATACACAAGCACCTAAAAAATTGCAGATATCCTCTCTCTCTCCTATCTGCAAATTAAAGCGACATCTGGTGGACAAATGGGCTCACTACATAAAAATTGCAATGGCATCTGGTGGACAAAGGGGTTTCTTACACATCATTCAATAAATTACCATGTATACTTGACAGATCCATGGATGCATTGTATTAATTTGTGTCAATGCAAACTAAAATACATCAGGACGTTTATTTGGAATCGCAAACAGGTCATTTAAATTGTAAAAAAAACCCATACGTGTAAACTGTGATGCAGTTAAACTGAAAAAAGGGACAATTTTTGTCATGTCTACAATAGCCCTATATGACGTGTTGTAAAGGGACATCACACAACTCACACAGCTGGTTCCAGTCTTCCATAAACAAAGATCAGCCATCCCTTTTGGTCTAAACTCCTTTTATTTCAGGTCAATCAAAACAAAGGAAGTACAGAAGTAAAGTCTCCCTGAGGGGACCTGAGAATGCCTTCACTGTGGTATTCTGCCCTGAGCTGTGTGGATCAGCCTCTTGTTTCTGGAGGCTGCAAGCTTTCTGAGAGTTAAAAGGCATGGTGTGCAGTGAAGGAAAGCTTTATGTTAAGTAGCTAAGTATAGTGTGCCCTACGCATTAGCAAAAAGTCCTTGATTTGTGAACTGAGTACATTGGGCTGAATTCTGATCTCCTTCCACTGATGTAAATCTGCATTAATTTCTTTGATTCAAAATAGCTGAAAGCAGTCTGCTGCCTGTATTATTGCTAATGCTAAGAACCTGTCTACATACCCAAGTTGTACTGTAACTTTTTATACCAATACTGTCAAGGTGCTACAACTCCCATACTGTGCATGCAATTAGACTGGTGCTTATATAAAGGCCTTCCTCTTGTATAACTTATTCCAATATGGGAAGTGGAATAAGCCATGTGTTTATGTTGCATCTCCATAGGGGCTCTATGGGTATAATGGCAAAAATCTTGTCTGGTGCAGTTATACTCATAGAAAATCTGCGTGTAGATCCAGCCTACATGCATGGGGCAGGAAGTATTCAGTACCTCACTGGCAACATTCACAAGGACCTGGCAGGTGAAGGCATTAAACTACCTTGTGTTATGGAGTTTGTCTGGATACAGAATTCAGATCCTCTTCTTTCTAGCTTGCCCACTCCAGACAAATACAGGCATGATTGTGCTGGGGATAGTGCCAGAGAGTGACTAGGGAGTTTCTATAATGCTACTGGAGCACCAACACTTTTCTGATCACAATGGTACTTTAAAGTGATGGCAACACATTTGCTAGCATCTCAGATGTCTGCAACCTCCCAACAGATCATCCCTACAAATGGTGTGTTGAGGAGGCTCAGACAATGGTGCTTCACTGGTGGCTTCATTGATTTAATCACAGGAGTTGGTTGGTCCTTCTAATCCTCTAGCCTGAGCAGCTATCCCAGGAGAGCTCATCCCACAGGCCCTGGTGCTGCAGCAGAATTGGTCACTGAGATGTTTTGCCCTTGCAGAAACAGTATGCCTTATAGCCTCTTTTCTGCTGCATGAAGGGAAGAAGCTACAGCCTAGGAGCAGGGCTGGCCAGACCGTGCTTTATGTCTGGCAAATCAAATTATTCCAGCCACACATCAGTATGAGAATGGCACAGACAGGAACAATCACTGTGGCCTTGTTGAAGTGTACTGCTGAATCAGGCACATCTTTCACCAAAGTACCCTGGTAATGGGGTGGGGACTTACATACATAGTCTTGAGGCCAGCCTTGCAGCAAGGACTCTGTGTTTGCCAAGGCCTGGATTTCACCGGCACCTGAGCATGAACAATTATAGGGATTCTGACCTGCCTTCACATTCCGCAGGTGTCTCAGAGACCACAGCTCTTCCTTTGAGAGATGTGAGATCAGGTTTCCATCTAGAATAAGGACTTCTAAAGCAGGGTAGTTCTTGGCTGGGGGGACAGCATGCAGTTTGTTATTGGACAAGTGGAGTTCCTTCAGGAAGTGGAGTGGGAGGTCTAGAGCATGAAGATTATTGAAACTTACATCTAGTACTTCAATGTTGGGAGGCAGAGGTATGACAATGTGATCTATGCCTGTACTGGACAAGTTAAAGATGGAGAGAGAAGACTGCCATAGACATGAAGAGGAGGAGGAAGCTGCAAGGTTGTTTTCACTGAGATCTAGGTGGGCTAAATTGGTCAGCTGCTGCAGCATTTCACATATGGTGTAGTAGGAGATCAGGTTATTGCGACGGAGTTTTAGTACCTGTAGCTCTGGGAAAGCTCCCTGGCAGAATGAAGATCCCAGACTTTGATCTTGGAAGTGGTTTTCTGATAAATCCAGATGGTTTAATGTTCTAAAAATTTTGCCAATACCACATGGAACATGGGCAACCTGGGACTGTGTCACAGTCAGATTCTGCAGGCTCTCCAGCCAGCTGCTCAAGCTGGAGAAGTCCTCGGCTCTGTCCACCAGGGAAGTGGAGGTCACATTGTGAAAGTGTAATGATGAGATTGGCAAAATCTGCCCAGCCATGTGAGCCCAGCTGGCATTTCCAAGGAAGGTGCAACTTTCAAATTCAAGTGTTGTGACTTGAGTGTAGGAAAAGAATTTCAAGACAGATGCCAAGAGAACCTCTGGAATACCAAGTTCTCCAAAGATCACCTTGGTTACCATCAGAGTTCCCAGCATGTCAGTTACTGATGGTTCTAATCTGAATGGTAAGAACCCTAAATATTTCTCCAAGTTTCCTCCTCGAAACTCAAATTCAGTGGCAAGGAGACAACGTGTGAGACTTCTTACAGTTTTCTCAGATAAATGTAAGCAGATGCAGTGCTGTTGGGAGTTATTGAAAAAGCATCTTCCTTCTACCTTGGAGAGTTTCAGTCCTGTGAAGAGCAGAATCACCAAGTACTGAGCGATGTGCATGATGATTAGCCTAGAAAACATAAGAGTATATCTCAGACCTTTGCTTATGAGTGGTGGGGCTGATTTAACTCCTGCAGGTGTGACCTACTCTCTCTGAAGTCAGTAAGAGCAACTTGTACTCAGTAGTAAGAAGAAAACACCTGATATGACAAAACTGTTGGGGTAGAGGCAGTATCTTTTATTAGACTTACTAGATAGCTGCAAAAATATTTCTTTTATTTGCAAGCTTTCAGGCCTAAATGCCCTTCATCAAGCAAAGGAGAGTTCAAAGATTGTAAAATTTCTCCTAGGTAGAAACAAAACTTCATATTGCACAGGAAAACTAAAAGCTGGTAAGGTTCTCCTGGGTAGGAAAGTTCATTTGTAAAAAGGCTGCTCCATGAGTATGCAAGTCAGGCTCAAACAAAGGCTGGATCATACTGTTTATCTCAGGTGTCAGATGGCATGTCAGTTGCTGAATTTTGCTTCTTTCTTCAATTGTTCATGTTGTACAGAAGAACTAAAAGATGGTATTGTTTTCTGGGTGTTAAAGTTCATTTGTGAAAAAGCTGCTCTGTGGGTATGTAAGTTAGGCTCAAACATAGGCCTGAGCTGGTTGTTCAACCCAAGGTGACCAATAGCAGGCACGATGCTGGATTGTGCTTCTTTATTCTTATGTTGTGAATTTTTTGTTTCAAAATGGCTAATTATGAAGTTTGCAAATAAAAATATTTTTTTGCAACTATCTAGTTGTTGTAATAAAAGATATTGCCTCTACCCCAAGAGTTTTGTCTGCCCATGCCTCTAGACCAACACAGCTACAACAAAATCATCTGATATGAAGCCTTCTCACATCCACTGCTGCCACATTCCCCTTTTCACTGTCTTGGATCCAGTATTGGCCTGGCACACCCAAGGGATCAAAAGGGGGAGAAACTGGAAATGCTAAATTACCTTGCCCTAATTACCCAGGTAGCTCATTTGGTAGACTGCAAGACTTAACTTCAGGTCATACATTCATAATATGGTGGGTTTGCTACATCAAGGAATCATAGAAAAGTAGGGCATATCATTTATGTAATGCAAAAGGTCAGTATATTTGTTAACTGAAATGAGTGTGGTTTGAGTCCACTCAGAGATGTTGGTTGGGAAGTTGATGTAGCTGTGGATAAAATTAAACAATTAATTATTTAAGTGCAAGTTAGACAAACATTTGTCTTGGATGCTTCAGTCAGGAGTGAATCTGTCTCAAGCAAGGGCTTGGACCAGACGATCTCTTGTAGTCCTTCCCAACCCTATGAGTCTATGAACTCATAGTTTAGTGATCTGAACACAGAATTTGGGGCCAGTAACTCTTTTTTCATTTCCAGATAGGGGCTAGACACAAACATCTGGTTTTTACTGAGAGAATCACTGTTCTCCTAGTAGAAATCAGAAGTGTACAGGCATTCAGACTTTGTCTCCCAGAACAAAAATGGCTCCTCCAGGAGAATAACCCTGGGACAATCAGGACTACATCACTCCTGGAAGACTGAATATCACCAGTATCTGTATGGGAAGGCTTTCACCATCATAACAGACCACAAACCTTTGGTAGGATTATTTAAGGAAAATAAAGCAGTACTCACTATGGCAGTGGCACAGCTACAGCGGTGGGCTTTGACCCTAGCCATGTATGAGTACAAGGCAGGCCATCAGCATGGGAATGCTAACACCCTGAGCAGACTACCTCCACCGGACTCAGCCCCTACAGAGGAGCACCCTAGGGAAGTACTCTTGCTGTTGAACATTTGGAACAGTGAAGGCTCCTCAGATCAAAATGTGGACTAGGCAGGACCCTATCCTGTCTAGGGCAATGCACTACACCTTGTTGTACAGCTGGACAGCCCCCCGTCCATTTTTTTGCTAGGTGTCCTTAGCAAAAATCTTTCTGCATTTATGGCACTGGGACATTTTGTGCAAACTGGGGCTGAACACATGCCTCCACAGCAAAAACATCTCTCCAAGTCTCTAAACTTTTGTTAAGAGCTTTGCACTTGGTTTCTTAATTGTCTAGATATAAATCCTGTACAATTTTCACTGCCGCTTCCATGGCAGTTGCCACCTTTACACCTTGTCCCAGGTCAGGTCCCTATCTGCTAGTAATTGTTATTGGATTTTTACCTCACCAACTCCACAAACAAATGTCTCTCATCATATTCTCTAGGGCATTTCCAAAAGAGCAGTGTTCAGCTAGCTTCTTGAGCTCAGCAGTATACTCTAAAATTGATTCACCTTCCTCCCTCCTTCTGTTATGGAATTTGAAAAGTTCTTCAATAGTGTTTGGCTTTGGAGTATAATGTTCAGATAAGACCTTTTGCAACTCTGCCAAATTTTTATCTCCTGGCTTTTGAGGTTGCAACAAACTTCTTAAAAGGGAATATGCTTTGCTGCCACAAACACTGAGAAATATTGCCTTTTGTTTGTCCCTATCAGTGATTTTATTAGCTCGAAAATGATGGTCCAATCTCTCAATATACTGCTGCCAGTCCTCAGTGTCTGGATTAAATTCCTCAATTTTCTCATAGAAAGACAGATATTTTCACTGCCACTGTTAAGTTCCTTACTTAACAAAGAATACTGAGACTTGCTTTTCTCCATCCCCAAAACAACAGGCTGTTTTATTCAGGAACAAACAGCTAACTAATGAAAGTAACTCTGGACAACAGAGGGTGGGGTTCTAGCTCCATCCCATAATAATGAGGACTAACAATTTGACTCTATAATTGCCTTATTACTACACTGCTCCCCTTCTCTTCTCCAGACCAGGATCACCCCTGTCTTAGGAAGGCATGGAGAGCAGGGGAGAGGGGGTGGCTACAGATTGAGTGTCTGTACAGCTCCCTCTTCTGGAAGGATTTCTACTGGGAAATTAATGGCTGGGAGCATCTAGTGACTCACTCCACAGCCTATTATGGGCAAGTTGCCCTGACTCTCTCCATTTCTTAAACTAGGATTTTAATAAACACTATCCTCACAGGGGGTGAAAATTAATACACAAATATCTGAATGGATAAAGTGCTATTCTGCAGGCCTGACCCTGATCTGGGCTCTCAAAGAGCAGTCTGGAAAATGCTAGTGATCAAAGGTTTCAGGAATGCCTTGCTTGTTTTTGTTCTAAATGTTTGTTTCAGCTGCTCCTGGGTGACTAGGGGAGCGATTTCATTCCAGCAACATTGCAGAGAGGTTGTTATTAAAAGACTCACCCACCAAGCTGGGAACTGGGATCTTTTCCAGCCAAGGAAGCAGCTCAGTTGCTCTTGTTTCTGAGAGTCCTTAATTAAGTTGCCAGGGATTTTTCTTCTGTGAGCACCTCTGGTCTGGTGAGTGTGATCCTTTCACTCAATGACCTACTACCTGGAAGAGGCTCCCAGCTGCTATTTCTTCATGTGCAGCCCTGCTGCTTCAGTTTTCTAAAAACCCAAGCCAAACAAGCACAACTGCAGCTCTGACACGCAAAGAGGAAGAAGGTTTCTGGGTGATGGTCATTTCATAATCCTCCTGAGAAACTTCCTTCCCAGAACATGTGCACCAGCAACAGGCTTCTCCAAGACACAAAAACTGATTGAGTCTGTTGTAATCTGTTGTCCAGAAATCACTTCTGTTTCATTTCCTTATTGCGTGCATTCACTCCCCAAATGATGCCTGTTGAAATAAAGCAGTCCTGGACATGCCTCATTAACTTCAGCAAAATGTTAAATGAGTGCTGTAAGGTGAATTTTTGATGATTCCAACTTGCTTTACAAGCTTATCTTTTTATATATTTTGTTCAGAGTGGGCTGCTGTCATTCTGAGAGTGAATTAATCAATCACTTTGAACAAGCCAATCACATTTTAAAATTCAGTCTAAATTCTACAAATTTATGTATGGTTTCCTGACAACCTTTGTGGTCACATGCTGTACCATACCAGTGTCCAATCATTTTGCTTGTTCATGTGCCACCATGCTGTTTCCTTTAATGTTTGTCAAAGTCTGAGTTGTGAAACCATATCCTTTTGCAGCTTGCTTACTGACGTGGGTTACAAATAAGTTACAAAATTATGTCTTCAGAAATACACAAAATAGCTAATTAATTATATTAAAGCACAGATAGCCCCCTTTAATGTTACAGTCCCCTCCTTAATAGGGGCAGACCTTGGTTAATGCATGGTTTTTACACATGAAACCTAATTTATGCTTTTTTTAAAAAATACATGTGCAGTTATGGTGTTTTGGGGTTGTTTTTTTTTTAGAGGCAGCATTTTACACATATTTTTAACCTTGGCAGGGAGGACTTTACTATTTTTTTGAACCCACACTTGACTTTGAATGCATGCTGAAGCTAAGGATACATTGTTTGTGCTACTTTTAGAGCTGTTAACAACAAGAGATGATTTTACACATTATTTTTTTTATTGTGGCAGTAAACCACTGGAATCATTGTAATCAATTAACCAGTGCTTAAATGACCCAATTACAATCTGCCTTTTTTTTTTTTTGGGCGGGGGGAAGGTATTGGTTCCAGATGCTATGATTACTATATTTTTTGCTGCTTGAGCTGAATGAGGTGCACAGCTTCCTTTTACAATAGTTGCTGGGTTATTAAACCTGATAACATAACTCACTGTTGTTTTTTTTGTAGTAGTTGGAGCCATTTACAAACCAAACCCAAGGGTGTTTTGGTGGGACTTTTTTTTTTTAATACTAACTCTTTTTTTAAATGGTATTAAACCATATGGTGCCAAAGCAGGTGTATACTACATAGCAGTTTTAATATTACAATTTAGTAAAGGCAGTGCTCATGTTGCTAGCTGTGAACTGGGCACTTCACCACTATTACCATTTTTATTAAGTATTTTTAAAGTTCCAGTGCTTACATGAGCACTAGCACCTCTTTTTTACAGGGTGTATGTTTTTGTTCTACCTAGTTGAGGACTTGGAATGCATACACAACTGGTTTACATTCCATACCTTCATTTTGACTACAGCTCCCAAACCTTGTTCTGTGACAGCTAATTTTAGTACAAAGGGCTGATCTGGGTTTGGATATGCCAAGGCAGGTGCTTGCATCTGTGCCATTTTTAATTGGGTTATTGTCTTCATTTGTTTTTTATTTTGAAGCTATTTTTTTAGAAGCTTAAATAAGGGTACAGCCTTTTTAGCATACTTTTTTATAAATGTTTGGGAAAATTCAGTTAGGCCCAAGAATGATTTTAAGGAGGCAATATTTGTGGGTGCTGGTAATTTTGAAATTACCTTAACCCTTTATTTATTAGGACTTTGGTCCTTAAATTACTATTTTTGCTTTTAAAAAATATAGATTAGATTAGGTGCCACTTGCTACATTTTTTACATTTTTTGTTCACTCCAGAGGCAAATTTAAAATTTGATTTGTTTCAATGGCTGCACACCTGTGCTTCTGAGGAATTACATGTAAATTATTATTATTTTTTTTTACTTCTTGCAAAAATATTTGGTTTTGGTTTGGTAAAGGATTTTTGGGGGTTTTTTACTGATTTTTTTTAAAAGGACTTTACTATATTTGCCTTCCAGAACTGGAATGGGGAGGATTTATTACTGAAGAAAAGCAGTGCCTGTATTTACTAACATATTTTGCTTAGGTGTTTCTTTTTCCTTTTGAGAGATGGAACTATATATTAATTGGTTGGCCCCATAAGTATAACATGAGGGCACTTTTTGTAGGGCCACCTTTGCTGACACTGGGCATTCCTATTTTCTGGGAAAAGCTGAGGATTTCTGCTGACTATTTTTTTTAAATGTTGGAAGCCCATGGATGGGGAATGCATTTTAACCTGCAAAACAAAACCAAGAAACAGTTGAGGCAGATGCGTCACTAAACATTTGGTTGTTGTTTTTAGGGGTTTGGCCACCTTTTCAAGCCTTTAACTGGGATGTATTTTAATTAATTATAATTATATTAAAGCACAAATAGCCCCTTTTAATGTTACAACAACTTCATTCACATGGAAACAGGAAGTTTTTCGAAGTGCCAGCCCTGCAAACCTAGGGAGCAGGGAGTCAAGCGAGACTCTCAGGTGCATAACTGCCAGCTGGCTGTGAGCCAAACATAATGAATTATAGGCAACCAGGGTGGATGACTGGAGACCCTCTGGGTTAAAATTCGTGGGGAACATGGCACAGGGGACACAACGGTGGGAGTCTACTACAGACCTCCCACCCAAAGTGCTGAGCTTGACCAGGAGTTCGCCTGGGAACTGGCTAAGGCCGCATGCTCCAGGACCATGGTTGCCATGGGAGACTTCAATTACCTGGACATCTTGTGGGAGGATCACTCAGCAAAATCTGAGCAGTCACAAAGCTTCCTCTTGTGCATGGATGACCTCTACCTGACTCAAGAAGTCTATGGGCCAACGAGAGGCAAAGCGCTGCTCGACTTGGTACTGGCTACAGGGGATGACCTAATTGGTGACCTAGTGATCGATGGGAAGCCGGGTGACAGCGACCATGAGCTGATCACCTTCACCATCCGCCATAAAGCTGGCAAGTCAGTCAGCAACATGGAAGTCCTTGACTTCAGAAAAGCCGACTTTGACAAGATCAGGAGGCTTGTCAGTCAGGTCCTAAGGGACCATGACCCCAGGGAGAGGGGAGTTCAAGAAGAGTGGTTGCTCCTCAAGGAAGCGAACCTCAATCCACAAACTAGGTCTATTCCATCTCGGAGGAAAGGCAGCAAGAGGGCACAGCAGCCCCCTTGGCTCTCCAGGGACCTAGCAGACCTCCTGAGGCTAAAAAGAAAGGCCTACAAAGGATGGAGGATGGGATTCACCTCCAAGGAGGATTATTCTGCACTGATCCAGTCCTGCAGGGAGCAAACCAGGAAAGCCAAGGCTGCAACTGAACTCCAACTAGCTTTGAGCATCAAGGACAATAAAAAGTCCTTTTTCAGATATGTGGGGAGCTGGAGGAAAAGCAAGGGCAACATTGGACCCCTGCTGAACCAGATGGGGCAACTGACAACTGACATGCAGGAAAAAGCCAACCTATTAAATGGGTACTTTGCGTCGGTCTTTCATCAGTACCATGGTACACCCATGCCCACTATGGGACAGGGAGGTCCTAGTGATGGAGATCCCCTGCCCTCCATAAACGCTGACCTTGTGAAGGAGCATCTTGAGAAGCTGAATACCTTCAAGTCAGCTGGCCCTGACAATCTACACCCCAGGGTACTCAAGGAGCTGGCAAGCATTATAGCCCAACCTCTGGCACGGATCTTTGAGACCTCCTGGCACTCTGGTGTAGTGCCCAAAGACTGGAAGAAGGCCAATGTGGTGCCAATCTTCAAGAAAGGGAGGAAAGTGGATCTGGCAA